CGCCAATCGAGCTGAGAGTAACTGGCCGTGACGTCAATAANTTGCACTTTGCCATCAGCCGGCGATCTCTGGCTCTCAACAGCAGTTACTCTCTTCTCAATTTGTTTTATTTTATTCTTCACGCTTGATAACTCACCAGCTACTTCGCTTAACATCTGCATAAATCTTTCCTCCAAGCCCTTCATGGATTCGCTGAGTTGTTTGACAATACTATCCTCGTGACTCTTTAGCTTAGTTGTTGATCAGCACTTCGGCATTGAGACAGACTTGAAGGCGACGGGGAAGTGCTATTTCGCGCCAATTGCTGCTGTTGTTGTTGCTGCAATTTCGCTCCTCTCGTTGACATTATGCTCAGTAGGTAAATAAATATATTTTCGTTTCAAAAATGGAAAAATAATCCCTTCGCGCAAAAGTTGTTTTCGACAGCAGGCCGTGGTATACAAAAACAGTCTTCCACGCTCTTTCACAACTTTTGGAGGCAATATTTAATTGGAATAAACACTTTAGCAGCACAAAAAAGTCGCGATCACTTGCCAGCAAGATTAACACGTCTAGCTCTATGCATTATTTTCTTTATGTTCTATACATGAAATAAGCTAACATGTGTTCGAGGATTTTTTTTTCGCTTTTTTTCTTTGGAGATATGATCTGTCAAAATTTGCATTTTTTCTTCATCTTAACGTCGTTTTAAAACTAAAGAAACAGGCTTAATATTTCTATATATAAGATGGTCANAACTTGCCAGCAAGATTAACACGTCTAGCTCTATGCATTGTTTTCTTTATGTTCTATACATGAAATAAGCTAACATGTGTTCGAGGATTTTTTTTCGCTTTTTTTCTTTGGAGATATGATCTGTCAAAATTTGCATTTTTTCTTCATCTTAACGTCGTTTTAAAACTAAAGAAACAGGCTTAATATTTCTATATATAAGATGGTCAAGATTGCCCTAAAGCTAACTTAGCTATTAACAGTTGAACTTTTTGAAGTTGATTTGCATAGTGAAAACCAGTAAATTAGGGATTTAGAATTAGGTATACCATCGTAATCCTTGTTTAATTTAATCTACATATCGTTGCCTTAATATAGAAAGGCCCTATCTCACATCGTCGCTGAAATGCACAAAGCCGTAACTAACTAAAATCTTTTATTGCATAAAACGATTTGGGGCCACATAATGCGATCAAATGCATCATAATCAATTAAAACGTAAATTTTCGATTTTTAGTTAGTTACGGCTTTTTGTATATCAGCGACGATGTCAGATAGGGCCTTTTTATATTAAGGTAGCGATATATAAAAATGAAATGTTTTTCGTATGACCGCGATGCCTGACCAAACGGCTGAACCGATTTCAATTCTGTAAAGTGTTTTTTTTCGACCTTCTGTGTGGAAGGGTTTTCGATTTAAAAAAATTTGAAATTTTTTGTTGTTGTTGCCGAAAAACGAAGAATGCTGAGACGTCACGATTTCACAATTTCATAGAGTTTTCTGTACATTGAATGTCNAAAAATTAAATATTTTTCGTATGACCGCGATGCCTGACCAAACGGCTGAACCGACTTCAATTCTGTAAAAAGTGTTTTTTCGACCGTCTGTGTGAAAGGTTTTTCGATTTAAAAAAATTTGAATTTTTTTGTGGTTGCCGAAAAATGAAGAATGCTGAGACGTCACGATTTCACAATTTCATAGAGTTTTCTGTACATTGAATGTCACTAAACAACTAAACGGCTGGACCGATTTGGTTCATATTTGGTACATATATCAGTACCATTAAAAGAAATATTTCTACCAAAAAGTTGCTCGCTAGGTGGCGCTGGGGTCAGGATATTCCAAAAAATTGCATTTACTTGCCGATTTGGNTAAAAATTGCATTTACTTGCCGATTTGGATTTAGAATACAATTTAGCCAATTGAAAAGAAATATTTGGACTTAAAACTTACATGATAGGTGGCCCTGTGGTCGAGATATACCCAAAAATTATTTTTCGCTAAGAGAAGGATAGATATCTACTATATATTTGTGGAAGTATGTATGTATGTCTTAGGGATGTTGCGAATGTGGAATTTTAGACATCCGTAGATGCGAATGCGGATGCGGATGTTTAACAGCTAACATCCGCGGATGCGGAAGCGAATGCGGATGTCAAGTATTTTCAAGAAACAATTAGAATCTAGCATAATAGCGAAATCGTTGTTTAAACAGCACTTACAAGCCAAACCAGATGTGTCAGGTTTTTCTAAAGCTTTTTAAAAAGAATTCTTCATTCCCATTCCTTTGGCTGTTTCAGAATTTTGGGAACCTGTAACGTCATCAGCATTTTTTGATTATAGTTTTAGTAATTCTTTTTAATACTTTCTTCTGTGACTGGTTTGAAAAATGTGTGCTTATAGCGAGCTAAATAGGATATGAACGCAAATTTTACACATTTGTACACTTTATTTAAAATGACTATGTTCTCTTTGACGTACGTCAAACTTTTACGTACGTCAAAGGCCAAGTCGAAAAAGAAACTTGTATGACTGCCCATTGATAGCTCGGTTATATAGCTTAAGAAATAATAAGGCAATTCATCAAATCGCGAAAATGCCTCGTAACCATGTAAACCTCTTAAACTTACTTAATTTTGTATGAAAAATCGAATTATTTGCGTGGTTTACGCGGTTCGAGGCATTTACGCATTTCCATGGATACCCATAATATATTTANTTAAACTTACTTAATTTTGTATGAAAAATCGAATTATTTGCGTGGTTTACGCGGTTCGAGGCATTTACGCATTTCCATGGATACCCATAATA